GTGTGCCCCGTGTGGGCCCCGTGTGTGCCCCGTGTGGGCCCCGTGTGGGCCCCGTGTGGGCCCCGTGTGTGCCATTCCAGATCTCTCTGGCTGCTCCGAGGCGTGTGAACAGGAGGAGGCTGGGGGGAGCCTGGGGACCAGGTGGGAGGCTGCTGCAGAGGTCCGTCTGGAGAGGATGGGGCTGGGCTGGGCAGATCAGCCTCCCTCCCAGACAGCCAAGACACCTCTGTGGCCACCGTCCAGCGGGCAGCAAGGCCAGGGGCCCAAACTCACTGGGGTCAACAGAGCCCAGAGGAACTGGAGCCAGCTCCAGCACCCACGCTGCTCCTGTGCGGGAAGAGGGTCCCTGAGGACCACCTGGTCTGAGGCTGTGGGTCCACAGCTGGAGCCGGGGGGGTTCCTGGGCGAATTCCTATCATTTCTCCAGGGGGACCGACAGGCAGGGGGAGAGGAGCAATGAAGACCCGAAGCCAGCAGCCTGGAGGAGTGGGAGGAGGTCATTCCCCAGGGACCCTGCCGTCCAGGGACCCTGCCTCACCTCAGCCCCCTGCACCCGCCCCCTCCCCGCCTTTGTGGCCTGTCCAGCAGGACCAGGGCTCCTGGGTAAGGACTGTCTGCCCGTGGCCCCTGTGCACCGCAGTCCGGGAACTGTCCCTTTAAGAGCTGTCAAGCGGGGAGGCTGGCCAAGCGGGGCTGGAGGTGGGGACAGAGGGAAGAAAGAAAAGAGAGAGAGAAAGAAGCAGGAAAAGTTTTTTTCAGAGGAAAATGCGGGGCTTGTCCTTCACCCTGACGTCAGATCTTGCTTTAATAAAACCCCCCGAGGGCTTCGGAGGAAGCCTATCTGCGGCTCCTGATGGGCAGGGCCAGTCTGGGCCCAGCTCCCCTGAGAGGTGGCCGGACCCTCTGGCTGATCCGTGGATGCCGGTGTCATTGACTTCCAGGCATGAGGTGGTTCCTGCCCTGGACGCTGGCGGCGGTGACAGCAGCGGTGGGCAGCGTCCTGGCCACGGTGAGTCCTGCCCGGGGGGCTCCGAGAAGGGGCTCTGCTCCCTCCCACGGTCCTGCGGTGGGGCCCCCGTGCAGAGGGGCTGGAGTGGTGGGCAGGGAGGGCCCCTGGGGGGCACAGGAGAGGAGAAAGGACTGGGCGACGGTGGAACCTGGCGGCCTGAGGAACCAGGGGTGCCCTTGGTCCTGTGTCCCCCCTTCCCTGCTGAAGTGAGACGGAGAGGGGCCCTGCAGGCGGGCGTGGCAGCGGACGCTGTGTGACCCTGGGCTGGTCACTCACCCTGCTGGGCGGCATGAAGAAGGAGTTGTCGGGGCGTCTGAAGTCCCGGGTGTTGGAGGGTCTGTAGGAGGGGAGCCAGAGAGCCAGGAACAGCGGGAAGGGGACGCAGCTTTGGACACAGCTCCATGGAGAGGCAGGGTTGGGGGCCCCCAGTTGGCGCTGTTCCCTGCGGGTGTTCTCCTACCTCCAGAGCTGGTGGCACCACGCATAGGTCTCCTCCACGAGGCCCCCACCTGCGTCCCAGGCACACCAGGGGGAGGACACAGGCTCTACCTCCCAGAGGCCAGGGCAGAAGACACGTGGCAGCCCAGGCCAGCCTGCTGGAGCCACAGTGGGCGGGCGGCACAGCCAAGCGGGTGCGGGGTGGCCGGGGTGGGCGTCAGGGCAGCTGCTGACCGCGAAATGCCTCGGCTGGGGCGGGAGCCTGTGCCAGGGCAGCGGGAGGCAGGAGGGGGATGTCAGGACTGCCTTGTGCCCAGGCCTCCTTGGGATCTGTGCACCTGGTCACGGACCCGGAGCCTGAGGCTCGGCAGGCAGCTGGTTGCCTACGGGCTCGAGGCCCCTGCGTCTGCTTTAGCTGGCTCTGAGGCCGGCACCCAGAGCTGGCACCCACTGAGAAGCGGGCTCCCTCAGAGCTGGATGTGTGTGAGGACCTTGAGTGGCAGTGCCCAGCCCCCAGAGAAGGGACACTGGCCCCATTTACAGTTGAGAGCATCGAGGACTTGGAGCGAATGGGACCCGCCGGCCCCTAGTGAACAAGTGCTGGGGTGGGGGACACACTCAGGTCTCCAAATCCCGGCCTTCCCTCCAGGGCTTTCCCAGTTAGGGGAGCAGCGTCCCCTCCAGCCCAGAGCAGGGAGCCAGCCAGGGCAGCTGCTCAGGCCATGGGTGCAGGAGTGCAGGCCGCCTGCCCGAGAAGGGGGAGAGCTTCAGGGTGGCTGGAGAGCCCCAGGAGAGGAGTCGGCCAGGGGCCCAGGACCTCTCCAGTGCCCCTGGGTCTGGGGGCGGGGGAGCTGGGGGTGGGGGACAAGCTAAGGAGCCAGAGACCCAGAGGTCCAGGCAGGAAGCTGGAGAGGGCTGCCAGGGAGAGCTCCGGGACCCGGTGCCACACAATCCCCCCCTGGGACCCCGCTCTGCATCCCACCCTTGCTAGGGAAATTCGGGGCTCCCAGCACAAGGCCCAGCACCTGGGTTCCTCCAGCATCTGAAAAACCCTGTGTGGGGATGTGGGGAGAGGAGGGGAAGGGATG